AATGTTTGATATTTTATATCTAATTGATCTTTAATTCCTATTTTTCTTTGCATGTATACTATGTAGTTACATTTTTATTTTGGCATTTTGTAGGTAGATCTATTGAAAACTCTCACCAGACAAAACTTGTCTATTAGGGTGACCTAAGGGTTTAAAGATTTGTTACACATATTAAGTGCAATCGTGATTTTTTTTTTATAAAAGTGAGTTAAATTTTATTTTTATCTTTTTATTTTGTTCAAGAACTAGTAAAACTTAAGTTCGGGAGAATTTGATGAGAAGCGTTTTATATGCTTTAATCTATTGTATTAGCTTTAATTTTATTATTATTTGTAATGATTATTATATTATATTAGCCTTAATTTTATTATTATTTATAAGGATAATATGTGATTTTCAATAGATTTTACATAGTTTCTATTTTTTGTGCAAAACAGACTTGAAAGCATAATAATACGAGTTTTTTTGAGATTAATTGAATATTTTTTGAAAATTTAGAGACTAAATTGTGAAAAGAAAGGTTCCTTTTTGGGATCTAAATGAATGAATTTTAAGTTATGGGATCAAAGTGTTCATTTTATAAAAGTTATAAGACCTAATTGTATTATTTTACCATTGAAGAAATTACAAAAGGGGATTGAATTTGAAACCCGACACGGGTACAGTGTCAAGACGTATTTCATGAAATTCATGGTGTTTGTACCATGCGTTAAGCCTTTGCTAAAACAGGTTCGTGTGATATAACTAGAAGTGTCAATTCCTAGATGCTGGTGTTAACACCAAAAACACGTCCAGCTTCAGTAATTAGATTTTTTTTTTTCTTCTAGAGTCTTATTTCTTTTCTAATAGTTTTTTTTTAACTTTTAACTACGCATTCAGAAAACCAGATTTAGAGCTTTTGGGAGAGACTAAAAGAGAGACAGTAGAGGAATTTAATATCAAAAGAAAATCAATACTCAAAATTTTATATTATTAAACTGATTTTATTTGTTTTTAAATTTTATTTTATGATATTGATATTCTTATATATATTATGGGATCTTTGATTTTTTTAATTATGAATTAATTTAACAATCTAAGACTATAACCCAACTTTGTAAATTTGATATAAAATTTTATGATTTTTATACTTTCAAGATTTATTATTTCATGTAGAATATATATTATTATTCTTAATACTTTTTAATGATTGACCACTATTAAAATTAATTTGGACAGCATAATTAAGACAAAGAAAAGATTTTATGTAATAACTTTTAGTAATATATATCATGAATTGAATGAAAACTAGAGATGAACTAATGTGATTTATGCAATATTAGTGATAATGGATTTAATTTTTTATGTAAGTTAAGAAATTTCATAGAATATCATGCATTTTTATCTATTTAACTCACATAAAAATATGGTAGGTTTAATAGATGAAAAATAAATTTCATATAATTTGATAAAGTATATTAAATAGAATAGGAAATTTCGTCATTACATAAGTAATAAAGATTTTGGAAGTATATTAATTTAAACTCAATATTTGTTGATTATAGTGAAATTGAATACCTTAAAATTTCTACTTTTGATGTCTCTTAGAATCAATTTAGTTATTTATTTATTTATTTATTGGGTTAGTTAATTAGTTCATTCAAATAATCTAATTTCAATTATTCAAATAAAATTATAATTAGTTAATTTTGATACATAATTAATCTACAATCTCTATAAAATGATACTTAATTTTCATTATTATATTATTTGAACTAACTAATACTCTTGTTAAAATGAAATTAGCTCATCAACATCATCACTATATCTAAGTATGGATATAAGTTATTCACCATGATTTGCATGCCGCACTTCTTGTTAGGCAAGCTCTTTCTCAAGGATTAATAACCATCGATTGTAGTCTCTTCTAGTGGGGTATGAGATTCACTAGTGAGCAATGTTTTAATAAATGTATCTAACTAAGCGTTCAAATTCAACTTAAGAAGTTCTTGAAAAGAGTTAAATAACCAGATGTTTTATTTGATGAAAAGTTAATTAAATAATGTCTTAACGACCTGCCTCTATGCTAGAATAAGAAACAGAAGGTTCTCTAGAGTTAACTAATGATGTAGGTACATGATACATAGGTATAGGCATTTTTGCAGGAAGATTTGGCATTGCTGCCTCAAACTTTTAGAACTTGAATTGCTAGCCTAATTGATGGCCTTAAGTTGCTATCAGGGTGAGAGCACCACATTCCAACAATCATCAAACATTTTGCTTGTTTCTCATCAAAATCCCTCCTCACTCTCTCATCAACACCGGAAAGAAGTCTTCCTTTCCCATAAAGATCCCAAACCCACTCCACCAACCCCAAATCAAACTCTTCCCCCATTCGATATGTAGACTTTCTTCCAGTAGCAATCTCTAATATCACCACCCCAAAACTAAACACATCTGACTCTTTACTTGCCTTTCTTGTACTTATGTATTCCGGAGCCAAGTAGCCAAAAGTACTTGCCAACCTGTTGTAATTCTACCTAAGTCATGGTCCATCAACTTAGCTAACCCCAAGTCACCAAGCTTAACTTTAAAACTGGAATCCAACATTATATTACTTGACTTAATATCCCTATGCACCACACACTACTCCCACTCTTCGTGAAGATACAGAATTGCTGAGGCTAATCTAAGTGTTATTCTATACCTTATATGCCAAGGAAAAGGACTCCTTTTGCCAAAGAGATGAGAATCAAGACTACCATTCAACATGAACTCATAAACAAGCAAGAACTCACTCCTTTCATGACACCAACCAATAAGTTGCATCAAGTTTCGATGCCTTAACTAATTAATGATCTTGACCTCTGTTACATACTCCTTTTTTCCTTGTTTTGATGCTTTAGAAATTTTCTTTACAGCAATCAACATGTCTACATTGGCTAGATAGCCTCTATAAATTGCACTGAAACCTCCTTCACCCAATTTCCTATGTTGAGAGAAGTCATTAGTAGCAGAGGCAAGATCTTGGTACACAAACCTTCACGATCCAATGCCCATGTCAAAATCATCATTGATGGATGTTAAATTTGTCGTCTCTACCCTTTTATTTGCCTTCTTTCTTTGTCTCATAATCACATATGTTGAAAGTGTTCCAATGAGAAGGACAATCACTAATATTGCAATAGCAACAACTATTTCAATCTTTCTTGATGAATTCACATTGGTTTTTGTAGCATCCAAGCTTGAATTGAATTTCCAAGATTTGAGTGTATAATGTCCAGCTCCACCTCCTTTAAAAGTTGAAAATATAACACACCTCCCTAAGCACTTTTAGTCCTAGGAGAGTTTGGAAATAAGATTTATAGTAAAGAATTGCAGTGGAAATAAAATCACTTTTGAAAGAAGATGTTTCTTCAAAAGAAAGCTTGTATTCCGAAAAAATCAATTTACATTTTGAGAAGAGAAGATTATAGATACTTGTAAAGGAAAACCATTTTAACAAGTCAATTTATATATATACATATATTGGGAAAAATGCCAAAACATTCAAAGTTATAAAATAAGCCGAGCTAAGCTCATTTATAATTAATTTAAAGATTTTATACATAAAGGTAATTTACACAAAAATTATATGAGACAAATTCTTCTCCAAACTTTTCAAAAGAACAAAAGCTGAGTCATTGTTTTGGTAATACATCGATCTACCTTCCTATAAAAAACACGAGGCCCTAGCTTGTACATACAACGAGCCTGCGAGTCTTGTGCCAAAAGCTCCTGAACCGAGAGGCTGTTACCTCGATCTACTGATCTAAAATGGGGGGGGGGGAATTTTATGAACTAAAAGCCCCGTAAGTAATAAGTTTAAGCTATAAACTTGGGTCCTAAGACCCTTAGACCTATACACACAAAGAGCATGAGATACAACGGAACCAAACCACATAATATTATAATTCTCAATATTTAAATAACAACTTAATATCTCAAATTATAATCACACATGTCAAGGAATAATCAATGACATTTCAATCAAATTCATATAATAAAATTATATGCTCACAAATACGATGCCACAAGCACAATACATAAAACCGAAAATCACACAATGCTATGGAGTCCATTGATGTGTGCTAACAACACTGTACCAGAGTTAATCACAGTACTAACCCTACTACACAGAGGTCCACTAAATACCCCGAAGGGTCCACTGAATACCCCAAACTTTAAGCTTAGGTCCACTTACTCCATAGCCACAAACACATACACATGTCAAACAAATTCAGAATATATCCAAAATAATCTTAGGACTTCCTATTAAAAGAGATTAAAGCATAGTGCGTGAACAGTGATGTATGAACAGTAATTGTGAACAGTGCACATGAACAATACAATTTACTTATAATTCCGGCAAGTAAAAATTCACACCCCAATTAAACATAAAAAGGAATAACTCATTGTCTTGCCCATATAAGCCCCAAAATTAAAGATATTTCTAATGAAATTTTAATATCCAAAAATCTTATAAAGCAAAGGATTATGGTCAAATCTCATCAATTTAAACTATCCAAAACTCTAACCACAAATTCATAGCTAAAACTTATACTTGCCTAACAAAAAGCACCTTAACCTTGGTTGGAGAAAGAAGGAAGAAAAGGATGCAGGTGGGACGGTTGGAACACATAGGAAAACAAAATGGGGCTTTTGGGAGCCTTCTGGAGGCCTATCCAAGTTCCACCGACAAAGAAAAAAAAAAACTTGGTTGGGACAACGCCATGTGGTAAGCCAAATTGGGATAATGGATTTAGGACCATTCAACTTCTACTAAATTTTACTTAAAACCCTCAAACTTTAAATTCAATCAATTTAATCCCTAAAACTATAAACTAAAAGACACTAATTTTTAAATTATTCACTAAGGTATGTGAGGTGTTACAGAAAAGCCTAGTCACCCAGTTGTTCAAAACACTCCTTAAATCAATAGGGCAATAAAGGATTGAAATTTCCCAAGGATTTTTGGTGTTTTGATAGCTCCACAAGTCACTCAAATTCTTGGTTGTAGAATTATAAGTAATCAATACATTAGTAGTATCCCTAATGTCGAAACTTGCATTCCAAGGAGTGTAAACGTTAGAGCGTATAGAATTGATATTGATACCCACATGAGTTTGGATAGTATCCCATTCAGGGTTCTAGTAAGTGTCAAATTACAGCATGATGATCCTATTCAAGGGGGAATTTTTTGTTGTGATGTTGAATAACTCAAGGTAGCCACCACCAGAGTTGGGTGGGATTTGAAATCCAACAAGAGCAAGGAAGAACACAATTTCATCGGTGGCAGTATTTGGACTCAACGAATCAATGCTGAAGGATAAATGACAAGTAAAGTCTGAAAGCTTTCTTGAGTTGGAGTCCCACATCAAGACTTCATTTGCATATGTGACCCAACCAACACGAAAAGGTTTGACATTGCTAGTTAACTCCACTATTCCAAAGGAAGACACTGCATCTCCTTGGTAGAGAATGTAATTGGGACTAGTGGTGAAGTTGGGTATTTGAAAGCTTATTGGATATGAAGATGGAAGAAGAAGAAGAAGAAGAAGAAGAATTAAGGAAACACATTTTGAACTTTCCATGGCTTGGTAGATGGTAGGAAGTCTATGAAAATGATCACATATATACTAATTTATATAACACTAGTTGGCAAAGTTATCCATACTTGATTGAAAATTGTGACCATTGTATGTAATCCACATTGACTAATAAACCAATCACAAAATCAGTGGCATGATTAATTCAACATTGACCAACAAATCAATCACAAAGTCGGTGGCATGATTAATCCAACATTGACCAATAAATCAATCACAAAGTCAGTGGCATGATATTAGTCTAACATTGGCCAACAAATCAATCACAAAATCAGTGGCGTGATTAATCCAACATTGACCAACAAATCGATAACAAGTGCTAACTATTAGTTGTTTCTAAACAATTAAACTAAAACAAAACATAAATTAAGAATCTTATAAATCAAATATTTTTAGTCTAGACTTGTAAAAT